TACTTGAGCCGTGATAACGAAGACGACATCATCAGGAAATGTGGCACAAGATGTCCGGTCCTAAGCCAAGGGGTGCAGTGACTGTACGGACATTAATGACTGACAATTAAATTTTGTATTCAATTAAGTTATGATTGAAATGAAAACCTGAAAGCGTTTTGCGAAATGAGTATAAATTTGCGGAGAATTTGCAGACTTTCCACAAACACTTGTAAAACGGATTCAATTTGTTGTCTAAACGGCAACACTATATGACCGCTCGATATGTCATAGTTTTCCCTAAATTACAACAAAACTATTAATCAAACATTCATTCAATCATAAGATCTAAGTATTAATTACTGACACAACAAGTGATGACATCTTATCGTTCATTACATCCGATAATTTCAAAGCGAAGAAACTTTTCAGACATTTATTGGCCTTTAATTGGCGGTCATATGAAATGCAATTAAATAAATGATTAGTTTAAAAGCCATAAATTGATAATACAGTGTTACTGTTATACATGTTTGATGATCCGGGACACTTTAGCGTTTCTTAAGCGTATAGTAATCCTCTTCATAACACCGGTGAAGACAATGCACTCATCGGTGAGACAAACGCCGTTCAATAGAGCCGTCAGACTATTCAACCATTTCTTAATTGCCTTCAAATCTATGGACAAAAATGGTATCAAATGAACGGTCATTTCAGTGAATGAGTGATTGAAAGGCAAACCATAAGTGCATTGAATGGTCTGGTATTCACTCCAATCGTATTTGTTTGACATTTCACTGCATTTAATGACATTTACGTGAAAACCGATTGAAATACAATGCAATCCAATACTTTCAGTCAAAATAAAATAGCATTTTGTTTACAAAACTTATGAGTCGTGCGAAACATGTGATGCATTCAATGAGCCCTTACTTTGAAATGTTGGCCACAATTAGGCTATGAGTTTACGACTGAATTATTGTTTTACATTCAAAACATTGAATTTAGTTATGAATTTGTAGACAACTCTATGTCACGGTATAAGAAATTAATTTGAAATATATTCAATGGATACACGAAAATAAATTCAATTTTAATTTATTGTATTAATTTAATCATTGAATGCCTTTACAAACAAAGTGTATGTTTAAATAAGTAATATTATTAAGTGCAACAATTTCTATTAAGCCAACATGAACAATTTATTTCTATTTCATAATTTAAACTTAACATTCATAGTAATTATACCGAAATGTTTAGGTGGGTAATATGAGATTATTGACTGGCTCCATTATGGGTAAAGCAAAGTTGGTATCTAGCAGTTATTTTCTTATTCTATCTGTTCTGTAGAAATCTACTGTTCAATAGCAAGGTGCAAAATATTTATGAAAATATTAATTTATGTGTGGTAGGCGGGAAATCTAGTGTAGTGTTAAAATATCTAGCAAAATATTAATACCTAATACTAGAAGTGAATACTGTACTCATAATAGATTAGTAACGATAAAAATTAAGAGAATTCGAGATTTTAAGGTTTCAATGGTGTTAAGCATATAAAAGTAGAAACATGTTATTAAAAACTATTTTGTAAAAAACTTCATTATGTTGGCCTGTAATTGACGATTAGTGTTCACGACATGACTGTCTGGGGCTGTTGGCCACTCCCGATGGCTGTCTTGGGCTGTTGGCCACTCCCGATGGCTGTCTTGGGCTGTTGGCCGTTCCCGACGACCGGCGGGATCTGTTGGTTACTTCCATCTCCGGTGTGGAGCTCGTCATTGTCTGCATCTCTCACTGTGTTGTTATTCGATGGAATAGAATTGAGCTGATTTTCTTCATCGATATGTTGGGGTTGATTGTATTTGCAAGACAACACATTGCCCAGGGTCTTCACGGTAGTCTCCAAGTTCATAGCACGTCCTTTGAGCATATTAATGACAATAGCAATACCAATGAGAATGATCACAATGAGAAGGACTACTGCTAAGCACCCGGGGATGACATAGAGATATGGAAATGGTGTGGAGGGCTCGGGTGTGGGCGACGCAGTGGTCAACAATTGCAATATAGTTGTAGAATTGGCTGCTGGAGGGGCGGTGACCCGACTGTCAGGCGATGGCGTTGAACCGGATTTACGAAAAATATCAAAAGTTTGCTCCAAAACCCCTCCGATTCGGGGCGCGGGAGGGAGTGCTGCGACGGAAGTTACCGCTATTTGGGTTATGAATCCCAACGCAACCCATGCCTTATATAATGAGACAATTATATTAATGTTATGATAGATGTTATCATATAATGCCAAAACACTTGATGTTAAATAATGTCCGTTAAACCGGTTATTAAATACTAAAATCTATTTACTATTACTTATAAACTATATATAACTCACAATGCAGTCCATTATTGTGATCACAGACTTAACCGCCGCTGAAATGACTCTTCTAGTGGTCGACACTTTATTTGAAAATAAACAATATTTTAAGTTTGAGATATCAATTAAAACAAAATATATGGTATTATTGTTAGCAAACTATTATTCAATTTAAAATATATAGTTTCTCATAAGTAATAAGCAATTATTGTATAAGCAAGGCAATCTTTATAACTGAATTTCTTAATAAAATTTATTTTTTCACATTAATTGAACATCACTTGAAAACAGCATATTCTTTGTGTTTAAAAGAAATTCGAAACAAAAACTAAATTTTTAAAACTAATGATTAGAATTAATTGTATGCGAAATGAATAGTATCCATACATTTTTGTGTATTGAAAAAGTTTGAAATAAATCAATTGAATTTATTAATCAGAGATCATAGGAATTCATATTATATAAAAACCTTAAATATAACAAACTATTGAAAAAATATAACAAACAGATATATAATAATAAATACTATATTGGAAATGTAGTGTATATTGGAACACTTATATAAAATATTGCATAAAAGTATAAATTATTAAAAATTTTTTTATTTTTTAATCCAAATGAATATTCATAAAATTAGTTTCAAAATAAAATATGCATTCATTAATTGAATACATGGTTCGCAACAGAATCTTAACCAGTTCGGTCAGTACATACACCAGAGAGGGAGAGAGAGAGGGAGAGAGAGAGAGGGAGAGAAAGAGAAAGAGAGGGAGAGAGAGAGCGAGAGCGAGAAAGGGGGAGAATGACCTAGTTGTAATTAAATATCATTTAATTTATGAATAGCTATTGATTGCAACACTAATTAATACGTAAGTGTCGACAAAATTGGTGCCATTTTTCACCACAACCACCAGTCTTTACATACTGGTGCCCATCGAGTCAGTGGCACTCTTTGGACATACATTCAAATCTGAATCAATCTTCAAGTGATAGTTAAGACAATACGTGTCCACAAAGTGAACGCCAACACCAACACTACCAGTGAGGTCCTCCCGGTGCCCTTAGTGTCGGTGCCACTCATATGACACACATTCACATTGAAATGGGTTCTCAAATAATAGGCAGACATTACGACTTCACACAAACCATCGCCACCGTCAACACCAACACAACCAGTGGTGAGCTCGCGGTGCAACTCATTGGACACACATTTACATCGGAATCGTCTTCAACTTAAATGTAAGTCTCTCTCTCTCTCTCACTCTCATAAACAACACAAACCAAACACATTCTACAGGGTTATCGAAAGGCGGCTCCGCCACCCCCACACATTCATATAAATGTTAACTTTTAGCAAGATATATTAACATTACTAATTAAATGTTAATACCTAGTATTTGCAAATATGAATATCACAAATCTCATCATAACTAGCACTCAAACAGTATTATAAAACTTACTCGAATTGAAAACAAAATGAAATGAAAACTTGTAATCAGTTTTGGAAAAGACGTTCAAAACTGTGAAAAGTGGTTAAAAGGGAAACAAATAATAATCCCTTTATATCGATATTAAATACAATTAAGTTAAACATTACTGAAATATTATCACTCATAATAACAATGAAATAAATTGAAATTTTAAAAATAAATGAAATTCTGGTCTGCTTACAATTGACCGCCCGTTAAATTGAAAACTTTTTTTAGAGTACTTTTTTGTGCTGAAAACAAATCTGCTGTTAAAATATGTTTATATGAATCCGTTTCCGAGATAATCGATGGTAAAGTCGAATTGCATATGCATTACAGACAGTGCAACAGTGGATGTGCTACTGAAAGGTATGAACGACAGGATATACTGTATATGAATATATGAACGCTTTAACAACAACGGGATGTGTAATGCATTGCATATCTCTCTCTCTCTCACTCTCATCCACACACACACCGAGAAAGAGAGAGAGAGAGAGAGAGAGAGAGAGAGAGATAAAAAGATTCTGTTTATATAAATTATTTTTATCAATAAACACAAGTAGTTTAGGCATTTAAGTGCATAGATCAAAAATGCTTTCAAATCCATTATTACTGTTGCATAAAAATATATTAGAAATACAAAAATTGTCAAAAAAATCTTAATTAGTTTGACTTTCATTTGATATAAAATATACTTAACAAGTAAGTATAAAACAACTGAAAAACAAACAGCACTCAAACCAGTGATCAAAACTACTCAACAAATAGATCTTAAATTTGATTTTCTGTTACATTTCACCGAAATTATCAAATGACACGTGAAAACCAAAATCTCTCGATAAAAACAATTAAACATAGTTTGAGATGCAAAATTGATTTGAATACTGATACAATTATGATATTTATATAGTAATATACAGTATTGCAATATAAACTCTTATGAAAACACAAGTGAACTAATTATTGACAATGAATACTAAGAATTTCTTTTGAGAATAAAACAATTATCCATTGAATACATACTTTTAGCGTGTGTTGGATGCGGTGACAATTGTGTAGTTTTCAACTTTCACCTCAACTTTATTGTGTTCTGAAAGATTAGAAAACAAACTTCAAAATTAGTTGAGGATAGGAGAGCGCAATGTGTGGTTCACCAGTCAATGAGTCAATTGCCTTTGCAGCCGGCCTTTGGTGCTGCAGAGCATAATGTACTGAACGGACTGTGGGTCACATAGGGAGGAGGATCTTGACGTCACTGTTTGTCACACAATCAGTGTATTATATTATATCATTGTATTTGATTCGATGATTCGATATCACTGTGTTTGTGCACCATGTTAAAGGATTTCAAAAGAAGAACTAAAACTTAATTTATTTTATGTGAAATTAACAGTAATTTCAGCAATTTCTTTTGGTGTCGACCCCCTTTTGGTGTCGACCCCCGTTTGGTGTCGACCCCCGTTTGGTGTCGACCCCCTTTTGGTGTCGACCCCCTTATCTTTTCTGATTCTTACGTAAAATTGACTTTATATGATAGAGAATAGAGTAAATCTAAGAATAGTAATATAGCATTCAATACACTTGTTTCAATACACATTTAATGAATATTATAATTTAGTTGTATTATATTAGCATGATATATTATGTATTAATTGGCAATGTCGCATTTGATTCATTATTTCTGGTCTTGAAAATATCTAAAAACCAATATTTTCATGTAATTAAAATGTTAAAAATTGAAAATATAAAATCAAATGCTTTTTCAAAATCATTTGATACGATTTTATTCTAGGAATGCGATGACTAACAATGTGCTTGCTATTGCAAACAAAACCGCTTAATTTATAATCATTTAGCATGGTATAATAATAATGTTATTATTGCTAGGAAGATATAATTAAATTTAAAATATATCAATAGTTATCAATAGTTGATGATAATTATAAATTATTTGTAAACTA